TTATTGAAGTCCCGCCCCCAGGTGCAGGCATTTTGGACACCGTTAACCACGACAACGCCCATGACTGTAACACGATACAGTGTTTCCAGCCATAGTGATTTGAAATAGAAACGGGTTAATCTGGCTGCAGCTGCAACAATTTCGATTTTGAAAGCACTCAGAAAAAGGCTGCTACCGTGGTACCCTAACCCCATCTCCCTATTACCATGTTTCAAACCGTTCTTTACAAAACTTAAAGTTCAAGGCCAGCATTCTTCGTTTGAATTGCAATTCAGAAATCATTTCGACTAGATCGTCACGAACTACATCTCATGCTAAAAGTATTGTATTTTGTCAACGACGTTTGGCGCATCAAGCTCAGTGGTACTGGTAAATTATGGAACTACAACATTGCAGGTTTTCAGTGGCAAAATGACAAAAGCAATGTCGTGTTGACAATCTGATTCAACGAATGGCCAGAAACTTGCAGAACTGAACGAATATTATTGAAAATGCATTAAACAAATAACTATTTTGTGACTATTTTTGCTGTTTAATCTTATCAAATGTATCGAATCCAAATTGGCTTCTTCAAATTAGAAGAAAATAATTTTTATTGAGTAAATTGAACATGGAATGAATTAGAAGTAAAATTCAATTACAAGGTTCAACTCAAGAAATAAAACTTATGGAGGATTCCAGATTCATAAAAACATGCATCTGAAGATGCAATTCTGCCTTTCCTAAATCTCAAAAAAGAATGTACTTGCTGGTTTCAATTTTATCACTGGGCAATGGTGATAACATAGATTCGGGAATTAGTTCAATGCAAACATGGCCAAATAATTTTAAACATCGGCGCCAGCGTAATAACTTTCTAGGTGCCTTATGTTATTGATATTAAATTTTGACAGCTTAATTAGATCAATTCGAATACTAAATATACAACAAGTATATGAAACAGACAAAAACAAAACATTCAAGAAAAAAACAAATTAGTTTTCTCAATTGGAAATAAGTTGGAAAAATATTTCACTATTGCAACAAATTGTATAGATCTACCCAAGTTCCAACGTAGGAGAATAGTGCAAATCCTGTCTCACCTTCGACATTTTTTACAAGATGAATGTTATAAAACATCCTCATGTCACACAAGATAGATTTCAGTACATCCGGCACTCTCTGCGTATTGGTGAACTTCACATTCTTGTAGAAACAAATTAATTCGCATGAACAACACTATTCAACCAAGTTGCTGTAGGTAACGCCAACCAGAGTCGGTATTCACTCGGAAAACTAAACTTACTATGTATTAAAACTTAAGAATGTTGGTAGCCACTTTTAATTCAATAACCTTTTTATATCGTGAACTAATCATGGTGTCAAACGAGAGTATCGGTCGGAGACCAAAGACTTATCGATCAAAACTGCGGTTTCGATTCATGACTCTATAGTGACACCGTGTGTCCAAACACCAATTAATTAATAGATCCCTAATTATACGACATAACTCTACCAAAATCAATAGCCATCTGGTCCGTGAAATGATGAACGCACATGCAAAATTGGATTGGGTGGAGATTAAACCCCGCTTTCTTGAAATATCGCTTGCATCTAACAGACAGACAAACAGACAAAGATCGATAAACAAGATCGACAAGTAATGATATTTTTTACATCATGCACTCGGTCTATTACTGAATCTGTGATAATATTATTGTTCGTCCTTGGTATTCATTTTTGATCCCGGTCTGTGTCCAATAACAAAAAATATGCTTTTCGTGAAAAATTTTCCATTGGACATGTCCGGCTTCAACCAACACATGACCTCTCTAAATTCTAAATTGCCCTTAGTAACTTCCATAATACCATTAAATTGCCGACTCGTTTCCTTTTTTCCTCGTATTTATTTTTTATATATTTATATTTAATCTCATTTGTATCCACCTATGATGAACTTATATATAGCACATACACAAGGGTCGGGAGCCTAGATGACTTTAATCGGTCTTGCACACCGACCCGCACAAAGCAATAATCAATTACTGTGGAATATTTTCGTTATTGTATTATGTTTATATTAGTGTTGATTTTGTTTTTGTGGCAATAAATCTCTCTCTCTCTCTCTTACGCGAACAGAATTCGATTGTAGCATTAGAAAACAAAATGGCGATGCCACAAATATATCGACGAGACGCATTTGTCCGTCTACGACCCTACATCGAGCACCGCAGAATTCATCAGGAGAGAAAAAAATGTTAGTTTTCAACAAACAGACAGAACAACCTTTTCATCTAGTGATGTATAATTGGTGTTACTGGTAATTTGAAAGTTGTACAACACCAAATCGACTGCGTCAAATTCAATAAAGAATAGTTAGAGTTAAACTCATTGACAAATAAAAACATACCGTATGGTTATTCATAAGTTGGAAAATATTTCATTATTGCAAAAAATTGTATAGATTTACCCAAGTTCCAACGTATGAGAATTGTGCAAATTCTGTCTCACCTTTGACATTTCTTACAAGATGCATGTTATAAAACATCCTCATGTCACACAAAATAGATTTCAGTACATCCGGCACTCTCTGCGTATTAGTTAATTTCAAATTCCTGTGGAAACAAATACATTCGCATGAACAACACTATTTAACCAAGTTGCTGTAGATAACGCCAACCAGAGTCGGTATACACTCAGAAAACTAATCTTTCGCGAACAGAATTCGATTGTAGCATTAGAAAACAAAATGGCGATGCCCCAAATATATCGACGAGACGCATTTGTCCGTCTATATCGAGCACCGCAGAATTCAACAGGAGAGAAAAAATGTTAGATTTTAACAAACAGATAGAACAACCTTTTCATCTAGTGATATATAATTGACGTTACTGTTAATTTGAAAGTTATAAAACACCAAAGGGACTGGGTCAAATTCAATGAAGAATCGTTGGAGTGAAACTCATTGACAAATAAAAACTTACGGTACCGTATGGTTATTCAAATCTAGATTTAAGAGATTTATATTTATATTTAATCTCATTTGTATCCACCTATGATGAACTTATATATAGCACATACACAAGGGTCGGGAGCCTAGATGACTTTAATCGGTCTTGCACACCGACCCGCACAAAGCAATAATCAATTACTGTGGAATATTTTCGTTATTGTATTATGTTTATATTAGTGTTGATTTTGTTTTTGTGGCAATAAATCTCTCTCTCTCTCTCTCTTACGCGAACAGAATTCGATTGTAGCATTAGAAAACAAAATGGCGATGCCACAAATATATCGACGAGACGCATTTGTCCGTCTACGACCCTACATCGAGCACCGCAGAATTCACCAGGAGAGAAAAAAATGTTAGTTTTCAACAAACAGACAGAACAACCTTTTCATCTAGTGATGTATAATTGGTGTTACTGGTAATTTGAAAGTTGTACAACACCAAATCGACTGCGTCAAATTCAATAAAGAATAGTTAGAGTTAAACTCATTGACAAATAAAAACATACCGTATGGTTATTCAAATCTAGATTTAGGAGGAATTTCATTTTGTCATATAGAGTCGACTATCCTCTCTCTCCCATTGATATAACTAAATATCCTCTCTCTCCTATTTTTCGTCGATGATAATGTTGATTCAACAAATAGTTTGATCAAACATGGCTGCATAACATTTAACGACAGCCCTGTTAAAATCCAACTAAACGATAAATCACGTTCTGGAAGCTATGATCAATTTTCGCGGTTTAATGAAATAAAAACAATTTATTTAATTAAAGAAAATACCGAAAATATTCTATTGCTGTATAATATTAGAAAAATTGTTGACTCTCAATTGGTTTCTTCAAATAAGATGAAATAAATTTTCATTACAAAATTGAACGTGAAATGAATGATAAATAATATTCAATTTCGATGTTCAACTCGGACATAAAAATTATTGTGTTGATTCCCAGGGTCATGTTAACACGTATAATACCAACATTGTAAACTTTCATTTAGGTCTCCAGCACAATAATATTTTAAAAAAAATTGAAGTTTGTTGTTATATATTCCATATAATGTAATTAACATTGTATACCAAGCAAGCTGCGTAAGAATATCTTTCTTAACAACAAGTGTGAAAATAGCTCCTGATTTTAGTTTGATCACATGGCACAGGTGATAACATAGATTCAACAATTCGCTAGATGCAAACGTGGCCAAATAAATTGACAACAGCCCTGTTTGAATCCAACTGATGGTAAAACTATTTTCTTGAAAAGTACAAAAAGTAGCGAATCGATAAGATTTAATTATTCCAGTCTCCAGACTATCGGTATAAAATCGATAATGCATTCAAGTATAACAGTATAAAATTTTGGAAATAAGGCACCACTATTACCGATGCTCGATCACATTCAACAAATACCGGTACATCGTCAAGACTGGGAAATCTATGAGGCTTCTGTCATGCTCACAAAACCGAATCGAAGAATAATAAAACAGTCTTGGAAACCTATCACTATGTTTCATTTATCAAATCTAAATAAACTTAGATGCTAAAAACGGGCTACATGATAAATAATAAACTAGTTGTAGATAAACGTGATCACAGAATACAAAAATATGATGTTTGTCAGAAAATGAAACGAGTGCAGTTTATATGCATTTCAAAAAGCCATCGCAAACAACACAGTAAAACTCCTCTTTTATCTCGTATTGATAATATTTAACTGATAAAGATATGATAGTTAACACCGGTAATGTGCAGGGAATTATTTGAATTTATGCAGATAACGTGCATATAGTTTACAAAATATGGTAAAGCTGTTATCATCGACAATTGACTATGAATTCATTTAAAATAAACGTACCGTAGTTCAACCTTTGACGAAAAATGTTTTAAGCAATCCTCATCTATTATCAGGCGAATTGTACACTCTCTCGCCTTTCTTGCAGAGAACTTTTCAACCGCATTTCCAATCACCAAGTAAAACCTGACACACACTCTAAGAAATATTTACCGGCAATCGCCTGGCATTACATATTACTGGAATGTAGTTGTGAAATTTTAATGCGATTTTAAGGTAAATATCACAAGAATTTTCGGTAAAATCGCTGTTGAACACCTGTGAATTTTACAGGATTTTCCTAGTAATCCTTACAATTATTTTCTAGTAATTTTCACCGGCAATGCGTAGTAATATTTACCGACGCTAGCCTGTGAATTTACATTACAAATTTGGTGAATTTACATTCAGAACCCGGTAAAAAGTACCGTAAATCTCCTGGCATTACATTTTACAGGACATGATCAGTAAAAATCACAGACTATTCTATGAAACAAGGTTTATTCAAAAAATAAAAGTGAACGTGAAATGAATGATTGAAAACTTGGAAAAATGAGAAATTGTATAGTGAAAAGTTAGAAATGCGAGGTAAACAGAAACTTCTCGTTGAAGAAGTTTATGCTCGCAGGGTATCCGTTCACATAGTCACTTTAAACAAGTCTCTATAGACAGCCTCTAAGAGAGAATAGTCTATGGCAGAGGGGGAGTCTTTCCGGGTTAGTGTTGCCCATGCTGATTGTATTGCATTATCCATTTGCTTTGAGGAACTCATGGTATTTTCTTCTCCATAACTTCAAGTTATCTGAAATGGAATGTACAAAGAGTTTTACCCAAACAACTCCAAAATTTAAAAATATTACCTAATTTTCGAATAAGATTTAACATTTTGTAGTATTCAATCAATCAATCTAATTCTTTTGCAAGTTGGAAATATCTGAAATTATTCAATTGCATATACTAGCATTCATTACAATATCCCACCTTTCTATAAATTTTCATATTTTCTTTTCCTCTTGGAGTTCATGGACAAAAATCTGTGGGCAATCAATCGATACAGACTTTTCCAGTATTACCAAACTTTGTAGATGAGATGGAAGAGGTAGGCTACCTGAAATAGTATTGAAATGGAATAAATTATTCAGAAGTCCCTAAATAATAAAAATTACACTCCTAATACTTTATTGTCAGAGCAGATGACAAAGTTTCTCTTTCAACAATTTAAAATTAACATTATAACTAACCTCAAATTCTTCTTCCTTGAAATAACATGTTAGTAAGAATCTCAAATATTATGAAGCCTTAGACATTGACATTTTCATAGTTCAGAGTTTGGGCAAACAATTTGTTCATGCCTGCATAATCAGATTCTTCAGTTTCTAAAAAGAAAACTGTTAAAAAGGATTGTATTCATTCCCCACCATCATTATATGTAATATGTTCAAATTCGGTCTTATTCAAAAGAGAAATTAAACAAAATTTATAGAATTGGTTTTGGTAAATATGCAGAATAAGGTGGATAAATGTTGTTTTGATTAATTTTCTATTTATAGTGTCATAAGTTAAAAGAAAATCTAGTGTTTTTATGACAGTTAAATGTGAATTGCCTAAAATTGCTCTTTTTCAAATGAAAATGTTCTGAATTAGTCCTAGAATCAATAACTTAAAATATCAAAATCAAATACAAATCTGTCTGTCTGTAGATGATTTTCAATCACTGAATCAGTATATAATTATATGAGTAGGCCTATATAATTAATTGATACCTGTTTCTTTTAATGCCACATTCTTCAAGTCACGGTTTCTGGGTGTAGAGCAACGTCACCCCCTCCCCTGTCTGCCTGTTCATGTGTTTCCTGTAGTCCAGCCTGCCAGTAGTCTGAGTTTGCGATCATCATAAAGCTGTTGATAATTTTGACGGTTTACAGGTTTATCTTGATTCAGTAATTAGATGCTAACATTTCATAGTCTAGAGCTGTAAAATGGGCATATTCAGATATTGTATTGCCGTTTCGGCATTTTAACATTTGCCAGTCTACTGACAAAAAAATTCAGATTTGGAAATACGAATCAAGCTCTGGCTGAGGTATCGACAGGCGTAACATGGATCTGCGTATGTACTGATGTAAGCTAGTCCAATCAACCTCATACCAGTACCGTATACTGCTGTACTGTTATAGCCAGTATGTATTCATATTATCATATATATATATTAATTCAGTAATTGAAACGATAGATCTTACTCTACTTCCCGACTGCCCCATACTGCCATAATCCCACTGAACAATACATTAATACCCAGCACTAAACAACACAACACCTACACTGACATTATTGAATCCAAGATGGCTTACAGAAATACTGCCAACGCAATACTGCAGTAATTACAAAAGCGACCAAGATATGACTGTCGGCCGACCAAATATCAAAATCCAAAAGTCTGGAATTCGTCAAATCAAACGGACAAATTAAGGAGTAAAGCAACAACAAAAAACGCGCGTGATCAATTACGCGTTTGAAATATAGCGTCTGATTGGCTGCTCTCCTTAACCAGTGTGCGCGCGCAACATTGACTAATGCCACGCCTCCCATGTCGGTGATTATTACCGACATTTGTCGGTGAATCATTTTACCGACCTCATTTTTTAATTTTTTACCCCTAAAATGACGGTAAAATTTACCGAACATTTCTTAGAGTGGCACGAAAGCTTTAAAACTACACGTCTAATAGAAGCTCGCAAAAATTTGAACTATACGTTCTGAAAACATTTCTTAAGAATGAAATTTCTTAGTTGTACATCACTCTCTGAATGTAAGAAAAAACTCACTCGCTGACCTCATGCTGATCCAACGACGAGTTGGCGCCGAAAGCTTCAATATTTTTCTCTGCGAATTAACCGTGTTGCGTTCATCAGCTAAACATCTTGTTAGTTTTCAATTGCGAAATAACTCTTCTTTACTTATGGGTTAAGAATGTGATTTTTCGGTTTTATTGAAGTCCCGCCCCCAGGTGCAAGCATTTTGGACACCGTTAACCACGACAACGCTCATGACTGTAACACGATACAGTGTTTCGAGCCATAGTGATTTGAAATAGAAACGGGTTAATCTGGCTGCAGCTGCAACAATTTCGATTTTGAAAGCACTCAGATAAAGGCTGCTACCGTGGTACCCTAACCCCATCTCCCTATTCCCATGTTTCAAACCGTTCTTTACAAAACTTAAAGTTCAAGGCCAGCATTCTTCGTTTGAATTGCAATTCAGAAATCATTTCGACTAGATCTTCACGAACTAGGTCTCATGCTAAAAGTATTGTATTTTGTCAACGACGTTTGGCGCATCAAGCTAAGTGGTACTGGTATTATAGAACTACAACATTGCAGGTTTTCAGTGACAAAATGACAAAGGCAATGTCGTGTTGACAATCTGATTCAACGAATGGCCAGAAACTTGCAGAACTGAACGAATATTATTGAAAATGCATTAAACAAATAACTATTTTGTGACTATTTTTGCTGTTTAATCTTATCAAATGTATCGAATCCAAATTGGCTTCTTCAAATTAGAAGAAAATAATTTTTATTGAGTAAATTGAACATGGAATGAATTAGAAGTAAAATTCAATTACAAGGTTCAACTCAAGCAATAAAACTTATGAAGGATTCCAGATTCATAAAAACATGCATCTGAAGATGCAATTCTGCCTTTCCTAAACCTCAAAAAAGAAAGTACTCGCTGGTTTCAATTTTATAACCGGGCAATGGTGATAAAATAGATTCAGGAATTAGTTTAATGCAAACATGGCCAAATAAATTTAAACATCGGCGCCAGGTGACCTATTAGCGTAATAACTTTCTTGGTGCCTTATGTTATTGATATTAAATTTTGACAGCTTAATTAGATCAATTCGAATACTAAATATGAAACAGACATAAACAAAACATTCAACAAAAAAAACGAGAATATCGGTCGGAGACCGAAGACTTATCGATCGAAACTGCGGTTTCGATTTATGACTCTATAGTGACACCGCGTGTCCCATAACTAATTAATTAATAATTATACGACATAATTCATCCAAAATCAATAGGCTTCTGGTCCGAGATATGATGAATGCACATGCAAAATTTGGAGCGGATTCAACCACACCTTCGAGATATCGCGTGCATCTAACAGACAGACAGACAAACAGACAAATACCTATCAACATACTTACCGATCTAAAGATCGATAAGTAATAAATTATTTTTCTCAATTCGAAATAAGTTGGAAAAATATTTCACTATTGCAACAAATTGTATAGATTTTTACAAGTTCCAACGTAAGAGAATAGTGCAAATTCTGTCTCACCTCCGACATTTCTTACAAGATGCATGTTATAAAACATCCTTGTGTCACACAAGTTAGGTTTCAGTACTTCCGGCACTCTCTGCGTATTAGTGAATTTCACATTCCTGTAGAAACAAATACATTCTCATGAACAACACTATTTAACCAAGTTGCTGTAGGTAAAGCCAACCAGAGTCGGTATACACTCAGAAAACTAAACTTTCGCGAACAGAATTCGATTGTAGCATTAGAAAACAAAATGGCGATGCCACAAATATATCGACGAGACGCATTCGTCTGTCTACATCGAGCACCGCAGAATTCATCAGGAGAGAAAAAGATGTTAGTTTTCAGCAAACAGATAGAACAACCTTTTCGTCTAGTGATATATAATTGATGTTACCGTTACTTTGAAAGTTGTACAACACCGAATCGACGGCGTCGAATTCAATGCAGAACACTCAGAATCGTTAGAGTTAAACTTATTATCAAATAAAAACTTACCGTATGCTATTCAAATCTAGATTTAAGAGAAATTTCGTTTTGTCATATATAGTCGACTACCCTCTCTCTCCCATTGATATAAATGAAATCCTGTCAAACTAAAAACTCAATTTTTCCATTTTTCGTCGATGATAATGTTGATTCAACAAATAGTTTGATCAAACATGGCTGCATAACATTTAACGACAGCCCTGTTAAAATCCAACTAAACGATAAATCACGTTGTAGAAGCTAGGATCAATTTTTGCAGAATTATGAAATAAAAACAATTGATTTAAAGGAAATACCGCGAATATCCTATTGCTGTATATTATTAGAAAAATTGTTGACTCTCAATTGGTTTCTTCAAATCAGATGAAAATAATTTTCATTGACTAAATTGAACATGATATGAATAATAAATAATATTCAATTTCAATGGTCAACTCAAACAAAACAATTATTGTGTTGAGTGTTGAGTCCCAGAGCCATGTTAACACGTATAATACCAACATTGCAAACTTTCATTTAGGTCTCCAGCACAATAACATTTAAAAAAAATTGAGTTTTGTTGTTATATATTCCATATAATGTAATTAACATTGTATAACAAGCAAGCTGCGTAAGAATATCTTTCTTAACCACAGGTGTGAAAACACCTCCCGATTTTAGTTTGATCACACGGCACAGGTGATAACATAGATTCAACAATTCGCTAGATGTAACCATGACCAAATAAATTGACAACAGCCCTGTTTGAATCCAACTGATGGTAAAACTATTCTCTTGAAAAGTACTAAAGTAGCGGATCGGAAAGATTCAATTACTCCAGTCTCCAGACTATCGGTATAAAATTGAATATGCATTCAAGTATATTGGAACTAAAATTTTGGAAATACGGCACCACTATTAGCGATGCACGATCACATACCGGTACAACAAATATATCGTCAAGACTGGGAAATCTATAAGGCTTCGGTCATGCTCACAAAACCGAATCGGAGAATAATAAAACAGTCTTGGAAACCTATCACTAAGTTTCATTTATCAAATATAAATTAACTTAGATGCCAAAAACAGGCTACATGATAAATAATAAACTAGTTGTAGATAAACGTGAACACAGAATACAAAAATATGATGTTTGTCAGAAAATGGAACAAGTGCAGATTATCTGCATTTCAAAAAGCTATCGCAAACAACATCGAAACACTATTATTTTATCTCGTATTGATAATATTTACCTGATAAAGATATGATAGTTAACACCGGTAATGTGCCGGGAATTATTTGAAATTGATGTAGATAACGTGTATATATATAGTTTACAAAGTACGGTAAAGCTGTTATCAGCGTCAATTGACTATGAATTCATTTAAAATAAACGTACCGTAGTTCAACTTTTGACGAAAAATGTTCCAAGCAATCCTCATCTATTTTCAGGCGAATTGTACACTCTTTCGCCTTTTTTGCAGAGAACTTTTCAACCGCATTTCCAATCACCAAGTAAAACCTGACACACGAAAGCTTTAAAACTACACGTCTAATAAGCTCGCAAAAATTTGAACTATACGTTCTGAAAACATTTCTTAAAATGAAATTTCTTACGTATTACATCGCTCTCTAAATGCAAGGAAAAACTTACTCCGATTCTCTCGCTGACCTCATGCTGATCCAACGACAAGTTGGCGCCGAAAGCTTCAATATTTTTCTCTGCGAATTAACCGTGTTGCGTTCATCAGCTAAACATCTTGTTAGTTTTCAATTGCGAAATGACTCTTCTTTATTTATGGGTTAAGAATATGATTTTTCGTGTTTTATTGAAGTCCCGCCCCCAGGTGCAAGCATTTTGGACACCGTTAACCACGACAACGCTCATGACTGTAACACGATACAGTGTTTTCAGCCATAGTGATTTGAAATAGGAACGGGTTAATCTGACTGCAGCTGCAACAATTCCGATTTTGAAAGCACTCAGAAAAAGACTGCTACCGAGGTACCTTAACCCCATCTAGCTATTTCCATGTTTTAACCCGTTTTTTACAATACGTAAAGTTTAATGTCAGCATTCTTCGTTTGAATTGCAATTCAGAAATTAATTCAACGAATGCTTTTACAAACTTCATCTGATGCTAATAGTATTGTATTTTTTTCGGACGTTTGGCGCATCTTCCTGAGTGCTACAGGTGATACCTAGTAGCACAACATTGTAAGTTTTTAATGGCAAAATGGCAAAAGCAAAGAAATCGCAATAATGTGTTGACAACATGATTCGACAAATAGTCTGAAACGTGCAGAACTGAACGAATATTAATGACAGTCTTGTTCGCATCCAATTAATTGATACATCGCAAGTTCTAGAATTTATTTATCGTATTTATACAAAATAATAAATACGAATAAATAACTTGATGAAAATACCACTGTATCCTGTTTTCAAATGACGTAAATAAATGTTAGTCTGCAACATACAAATAATACAACATTTTTATCTAGTAATTGGTGTTAGTGTTGATTTGACAGATGTTAATTAAACACCAAATCGACTGCGTCCAATTCAATGCAGAATCGTTAGAGTTCAGCTAATCGACAAATGAAAACATTTCCGTATTTAAATCGAGATTCAAGAGTAATTTTGTTTTGCCATATGAAACCGTTCATTCGACTACCCTTTCCCTCCCTGTGATATAAAAGAAACCTTGTCATACTGAAAATTGAATAATTTTCTACTTCTCGTCTGTGATAATTTTGACTCGACAAATAGTTTGATCAACAGGGCTGCATAATATTTAACGACAACCCTGTTGCAATCCGACTATCCAAAAAGTCATAATGAAATTTATTTGGTCTCAAAATGAGATCGTCCGGTTTCTCTCAGGTAGGGGCAATTTCAACCGATGGAGGTTTCCGGGTTTGATATATATTTAACTGGTTAGTTTCTAGGATCGGATGCGAAGAGCTATAAACAAACAAGCTATAGTCACCGTTTTGTCTCCTCAGTCTTAATATTGAATGCTACGTTTTTATATGGGTGTCCTGGTGCAGGCATGGGGTTGTATCAGTGCCCGCATGTTTCCGCTATATTTCGACACTGAGGTTAACACATATTTCAGATGTGTCGAAAACAACATTAAATTTTCATGGAAAAAAATAAAATAGTATCATGTACACACTAGGCAATTTCATATAGGCGTTTAAAAAGCTAAATAAAATGTCGTACACTACACAAACTTGATCAAGTGTGGTATTGGTAAAATTTGACATAAATATGTGCTTTTCGTGGATTTTATATTATTAAAAAGAAGCGCACTGTAAATTCAATAGTATGATTCGAGTGGAAGTGCACATACATAGGGGGTGATAATATACTCCATCAATTGGCTAAATCGCGATATGTGTGTAATAGTTGAGAGGATTTGCACAAATGAAAATTGAGTGTTCTCGCTTTTAATGTATCAAGTAAAATATTGTACATCAAGGCATTGAAAGTGAGACTTGTAGGGCTAGTAGTGGAATACTAGTGAAAATTAATTCCAGGGAACAGTCGAAAAATAGAATGAAGAACAACCAAGATGAAGATCTAAAGTACAGTTTTATTCTGCCAATCATTTGGCAGTGTCAAAAAATAAAAATTCAGTAGTTGAACGAAAAACCATTTTCCAGATGTGTTGTATAAATAAAATACTCATGCGATATTGTGGTTATTAAATCTAGTTTTGAAATTGTTCTTGGGTGAATTGTACTTGAAAGTTTTTCCTTTTGTGCTTTTCTTATTTTAAATCACAAAAATAACAAATATATATATATTTATTTTTGTATTCATTTGTCAGTTTGTTTGTCGTGGGAGTTCGGCCACGCCTACAATTCCGACATGATTTTTGACTTTTCCGCTTAGTCGCCCCGTGGTTAACTGAATATTCAGTTAACCATGGTCGCACACAAAGATCACCGTACTATCTTCACAGTGGTGGTCAAGGGTCGGAAAGCAACCATTACGACCAATGATGAATGTTTCCCCAGGCATCGACTTTCTTGTTTACTTCGTAACATTGGTCAATCAGCGAGATGCAAAAAGTGACGTACAATGCATCCGCTCAGACACTTTTCTCACTCAGACAGATTTTCAGACGTGGTTCGTAAATACTACCTCATTTCCGCGTTTTGGAATTCTTAGTTTTCAGTTGTGTTTTGGAAATTTAAATATAGATCAACTAATTCAATGATCACTTTGTCTTCTTATGCGTTTTAGTTTAATTGCAGTAATCAAGAATTAGTGTGGAAATAGCTGTAATAGACTAGGCTAAAATTCCAGAAACGATAATTTTGACGGTAAAATAATAATGATGGTGAGAAAAGGGAACAGAACAGACAAAACGGTGTCTTATCCGTTAAACATGACCAACCGCATCCTATCGCTCGGTAAGTCGTCGTTTAGTTCGAAAGAAAGATTTTTATATATATGACTACAGAACTAATCAGCTTGGCGATATCTTTCGACAAATATTTTTACATACATTCCACTCCTGTTAACTAATTAGATATTCAATCGGGCAACCCTTACAAGATTATTAATGCGGTATGGTGTCCCATTTTTTGTTTCTAGGTATACTGTATATCTTATTTTATATATTTTATTTTTCCCTTTTTTATCTTTATGTTTGTGATCTTTCATGTGCATTATGTCTCCGTAATTGTATGTGTGTGCGTGCTTGTGTGAAAAAGTTGTTGTTTGTGCTGTATAAGTGAATAAGTTTATTATATTTGAGTGAGCCTGTGAGCTTCAATAAAAACATATAGCCTACTTCTTTGACAACATCTTTCCATCTAAAATGTGGCGCGGCGATGTGGCTCATCGTGCTAAGCATTAGCAATACGCTCGCCACCGCATCTCTGATTACTCTGTGTGTGTTCGCGGGTTCGAATCCAATGCGGGGATAGTTATGTGCGAGAGGATTTTTGGACTCGTCGCCGCCGTAGGGTGGTTCACGTAATCGCTGGTCGGTTACGTTTCCTTCATCATCAAGTTCATGCTACCGAAGACAAATAACTAACTAATCCCATACCCGACATGGAATGGTAACCGGACGAGTGGTCGTGGGTAAGCCGTCTTGTCGGCTTTACTCTCGCACGGGCTAAATATGTAAATCCTATCTTTACCGGTACTTTCAAAAAACAGATTGTTGAATGCTATGAATCAGAATGATGGTTTGAAACAAATACCCCATTTTACAAGCGCCAAATCGCGAAACCTCTCACCAAAAATTTAAAATTTTCAAGGGGTCAAAGATCGGGGAAAGGTCCATTGCGACACACTTACACCGTAAATATATACTACTGCTTACACCAAGAAGAAAGACTAGGTCATTTATTCTGAAATTACTTTGAATGGCGTAATTTCATTCAATTAACAAGTAATTTTTTTAATAAATTATGCAAAATAATTAACAAAAGTATGAAATGCTGTGTTTATGGGGTACCGGTACGACATTCTGTGGCCGTGTTTTTAATTGTAATTTTACACGTGCGGGCGTGTAGATGGGCAACGCGCAACACCATGAGAACATAGCCTATACATTATGTGGTTTGCCAACGCCAGTAACCTTGTTGTAGCCTGTACGTACCGGTATGTCATTGTTTGATTGTGGTGTAATTTTTGTTGGATTACCGCACTCTTTTTCTTTCGTATTTATATATAGGCTAATATTTAGGTGTTAGATATATCTGTATATTTTCCAGCCTGTTAGTACTGTAGTACCGGTAGTGAAATGCTGAAACACTGTATGTAAATTTATATCCAAGTCTGACCAATTTGTCACCGTGTATAATTCTAGTTTTTTTTTCATTTATTGTACTGCTTTTCAGCTTTTGTTAGTTTTATCCAGCCTTTATTTCATATTTTTCCAGCTAACAGCTTGAGTTTCAAGTAGTATAGTCAGTTTTGCATATTCTGGTATTGGCGTGCAGCTGAATATTTTTTAACCGAGTGTACCAAGTATACCAGTATACTGGTACAGAAGTATAGAGAAATATGAACAAAGTGATTTTGAGGACGTCGCAATGTCTTCGACTAAACTACAGTGACTTTTTAACAACAGTGAACACACCACAAAGGTTTGGTATTGTAAAATTATTTATATCACATATCACAGTATCACTAAGTTTATGCCTCAAATTAATATTGATGTCATTTAACATACTGTGATCTATTTTCGGGTCTGGTATAGTTTAGTACAAGGCTACTCAACTGGCGGACAGCGGTCCGAATCTGTATCTTTCGAGTATGAAATTTGGACCACAGCTGCTTCTTGATTTCAAATAGAAATAGGCAGAAATGAAGAAATGTATTTTTTCAGCCTAACGATTCACAAATAACACTACTATTGGGCACGAAATCAAGTGATGAATCATTTTCCTAGAATCGTTTTGGTTTTCCTAATCTTGCCTGGAAAAAAAATTGTTTTTCTCTGCAACTAATATATTCCAAGTTTTCAGTCTTAAAGATAATTCAAGTCGCTAAAAGAATTTAAAATATATATATTTATACGGGTGCTATGGGGACGAATATTTCAGATCTTTTTAGCAAAGTTGGCGCTCAGCTTCACAACTGAAGCCTGACCGGACCCCGGCCAACAGTAGCGTGTTTGTTATTGCCGACGCAGATGCCATTTCGGGCGATTGTAGTTTGTACTTTGGCAAGTTCTATGCCGTATTGTGATGTCGTAGTGGTGTAATTTTTGGATGGCATAGTCAGGTGGGGGTTAGGAATAACTTATGCTACGCTAGCTAAAAGTACTTGTGGTACTAAACTATACTGGACCTTATTTTTCTACATTTTAACTTGTTTTCAAATAGTGTATTTCCCATTTTTTTCCTGTCTTATTAACTCACCTTGAGTATATACTTATTGGTTAAGTTGAACAAGTATCCATTTTGTTCTTGACTATTGACTAAATCTTTTTGACTATAGGCTATACCATCAAATTTAAATTTTCTTGCTTTTCATTTATTTATCAAGTTTTCACTCATACTGTAATAGTAAAAATAACTTTTTTTTCATATCTGAATTACTTAGGGTACTTATATTATATCAGTATTTTCAACTGTTCAATGTATCAACATTCTTTATATTTGAAGTAAATCTTATATATGGGTTGTGAAGTTTCAAAATCAAAATATCTATTGTTTTACATAGAGCATTTGGATAAAAAATTTGTACTCTTTCTTGCCTAAGGTTGCTTAACAATAATTTTTAGATTTCTTTTCAAACGAGCTTGGTCAACTGCAAAACCAAACCAAGAAGATAAAGCTAAAGAAGAACCAGAATCGAAGATTGAATGCGAACAGAAGCCAACAGAGGAGTCAGCAGCAAATGATGAAATTAAGAAGTTAAATGAGTCATTAGCTGATTTGAAAGTATGCAATTTTTATTGTACTTGATTTGAGAACACAGATCAAGAACTAACAATCTCTAATCTACAGTACTTACTAACATGACTTGATAATCATAAAATTCATATTGGTATGGATATATATTTCAAAATTTCACTTTTGAGCACGCTGTTGTGATCGAAATTTTGAACAACCTTTTGATGAATCCCTGAATAGAAAATAGCCATGATTTTTAGTCATGACACCAGAAAATGTTGGCGAACTCAACATCTCTCACTTATTTTTATTTTTTGTTGTGTTTCCGATTATCTCTATTTTCCTTTTGTTTATTCAAGTAGTATGTTGTTTATTTAGAGGCTGAAAATGAAATACCTATTGATCAATTTTTTTTTAAACTGCTCTGCTCTCCATTTGTATGATCAACCTCAAGAATTAATCTACAATTTGATTTATAGGATAAGTACCAACGTTCAATAGCAGAAAATGAAAATGTAAGAAAAAGATTGCGGAAAGAAATCAGCGATTCGAAACTTTATGCAGTCCAAGGATTTTGCAAGGATCTTCTCGACGTTGCTGATGTTTTGGACACCGCTGTCCATAGTGTTCCAAAAGAAATTCTTGATGCCAGCAGTCACCCAGACCATAAAGAATGGATGGATTTTTACAATGGGGTAACAATGACAAAAAGTGAACTTTTAAATGTTTTTAAAAGACATGGGCTAGTGCCATTTTCACCCAACAAAGGTGATAAGTTTGATCCAAATATTCACGAAGCTATGTTTCAAGCTCCTGTTCCGGATATGGAACCAGGATTAGTTGCTCATATTCAAACCATTGGATACACTTTACATGATAGAACTCTTCGTCCAGCTCAAGTTGGTGTGTCTAAGTAATATCCGAAATATATCAAGTTGCAAGATACCTTTTGTCTCATGTGTACACTGCTATTACTAAAGTTGGTTGCAATGTATTGTCCAATCGATACTATGAAACTGATCAAGGAAACCTAGTGCCGAAGGAATCCTGAAATTCGGTATTATTAATTGGTACTGAAGCAAACATCTGATCAAGGCAATACTATCTATCTGAATGCTGTCGGTTGTCCTCACTGTCTCATAAGTATGCTATGGCATTCCTCATTCAATATTTGGTAATTCTTCTTTAAATGACCCCTTTTGATACTAAGTTGGCCATGGTATTAAGGTTCTTAAGGACTCGTTGACAAAGACTTGATAAGGATAAGAATTGGAATGTCCCTCCTGCCCAAAGTTTCAATGGATCGGTAAAAACTTATTAGGTTTCAAATCACCAACGTACTTAATTTACATCTACTGAAGGTAATTTTTTCCAGTATTGACTACATTATAAATATTTTCTGGAATATTCGTTATTTATCAAATTTTATGCTGACTTTTAGCATTGAATTCAGGGTTGAGCATTTATGACAACATGTTATCATGGAGTGTTCTTGAATTGTTTGGTACAGGATATAAATTATACTGGATAGAGCAGGGTGGTCCAAGGTTGTCGGCGTCACGGGCCACACTATTATTTTTGTATTGTTCGCGGGCCACAATAGTGTCAAGAACAGGTAAACAATGCAATACAAAACAAACGCTTTTATTGTCCAAACACATTGGCATTATTTGCCATTTATCAAGCTAAAGCATGCAAAAACTCCCCAAAACGTGCAAAAGTCTTACTATATCAACATTTAGAGTAAGGTTTCAAACTCGTAATAAATGAGAAAGTGCCATAAGGAGATTTAGATTGTCACCGTCATAACTTGCAGACATAGTAAGCCAGCATTGCAGTATTTTCTCTGCGATGTCCAGTCAAAAAAACTGTTTGAAACATCTATCTTTTTAAACTCGTGTTTACAAAATAACTTACAAAAAATTACAAATGGATTGATTACGGAATTTTACCTAATTTGAGATACAGGAGGGTAATTACCAAATTTTCTGACATATAGGCAGCATTTTTTGTAATACTGTTTGGCTGGTTGCAAAGAACACCCGGCAGGAATCATTTTGTTCGTCCATAACAAGAATATTCAGTTATCAGACATAGGCTAAGAGATTCCTCATTCGATTTTTAGCTTTCTCTGAATCCTATTTTGTTAGCATATATCCCGACCAGAAAGATAAAAAGTCAGTTAACAATTTATACTAGCCAAGCACATTATTCAACTTCGCTACTTGCCTCAGCTAGCCATAACACTAGTCAATTTAATGGCATTAGTGATGTGAAAATGTATTAAAATAAATTCTGGTTATTTTTATGACGAAACAACACCAAATGCGATTTTTTGTTTACCTCCTGCAAATGCGACGTGGGCCCTATGTGGCCTGCGGGCCTAGGTTTGGACCACCCTTGGATAGAGGGTATTTTATTTTTAACATTTTGAAAATCATTTCCCTGACCTACCAAAAATTTCTACTACACGCTGTGGCCGTGGGAGACTTTGTTCGGACAATGACTATGTCTGGTGGAGTGGTGGTATTACTCAACTATGCGCTCGCCTAACGGAAAGCTGCCAACTTGCGGGAACTGCCCAATAGGGGGAGAGAGAGAGATTTATTGATTCGTCAACCAAAACAAATATAAATATGAAAGCATAAATACAAATAAATAAACACTGTTTATGGTAAAGACTGGAGGGAGCGATACGACCATACGGTCATCCAAGTCAGCTCCCCCCATATTCACTGTTATGCATAAGATTCACAAGTATTGGATAGAGTATATTGGATTAGAATAAATTCATTGGTTCCCAACCGCCGGTCCGCCAAGCATTCTTGCCGGTCCGCGAGAAATTTCGGTGTTTTGTTGTTTTATGCCGTCTAAATCGTTGTACCGAAGGCGAGGTTGCGTTGGTTTATTACGCAATTTCTCTTCCGCCGTCATATTGCGACAAATTGGCGCGAGTAATCATACTTTTCGCTTTTTCGGTTCCGATTCATCTCGAATGCGCTCCGATCTCTTTACCGAAGACGAGGTTGCGTTGGTTAATTACGCAATTTCTCTTCCGCCGTCATATTGCGACGTCTTCCGCGACATCTTGGCGCCGAGTAATCACACTTTTGCTTTTTTGGCTCCGATTAATCGTGAATGCGCTCCATCAAATCTCGCAAGATTCAGAAACCTAAAAATTGGCACGCGTGCTTTTTCTGTTCTGCATGCTTTTCCTGATTAATATGAACATCCAAATAAAACTTTATGCATATTTCTTTGTTCAAACCAGAAAACAGTCAAGAAAAGTATAATACTCCAGTAAAATACGGCAGGTGGTCACGTGGCGCGCAAAAACGCATGGGCCGCTAACATCTTTTTCAGTATCTTGAGCAGATAAAGTAGGATTTTGAGCCTGGTGCCAAGTTACCAACGACTTTTTCATTGTAATGTAAATTCATTTCGTTTGAAGCATCGATCAACTGCAGTGGGATTAGTATGATAAACCCAATGAAAAAGAAAAAGCTGGATTCAAATTGTGATTCTACTTTACAGTCCAGATTTAAAAAAAGAATTACTGTCACAATTTTGGATATATATCTCTTGATAACGAATACCCATCGCTAAGTAATCGATCAATCAAACTGTTGTCCGTATTTTCAACGAGCTAATCATATTTTTATTACTTATATATAAAAATATTTTCATCACTAGCTTTAATTAAGGCGAAGCAAGGAAATTGGCTGCCCGCCGCTGCAGAGCTATACGTGTTGCAGAAACTTCCTTGAGGCATCGTTTGCAATCCTATATTGGAAACTAAACAGCAGCAAAATTCTCACTAGAGTTAATTGCGTTTGTACATGTTTTTTTATGTGAGATGTTTTATGTGTGGCTTTTTTACGCATAATGGGTGACCAGCACTGCATTTCATTACGCAAATATATGGTATTATGTTATGTTTCACCCATTTCAATTTTTAGCCGACACATTTGATAGTTTTTCTTCGTGTGAGCTGTTTTTAAGTGTGCCTTTTTTGTCTAGCTGCATATTGAGTGCCCGACATTGATTTTTATTACGCAAATATATGTTATTCTATTCTGTATCAGTCATTTCAATTTTTTGCCGGTCCACGAGTACATTTATTTTATTTTTAACCGGTCCGCCAGGGTTTAAAGGTTGGGAACCACTGGATTAGATATAATAGAGTATTATACACTTAAATAATTGTAAAAAGCACAATTACAAGGGGCTAATGATTGAAGTTAGTTATCACGCTCATATGATCATTGATCCATGCATATTAGGAAAAAAATTACTAGGGGTCTGGAGAATTACTAATATGGAGAACAAATTGTGGTAGTTATACCCAATGAGCGTATTTGGATGATTAATATGGTAAATGAAAAGGAATATAGATGAAAAAAATAGAAAATTGAAATATTTGATTTACAAAGATAGAATTAACTTTGGTTTATGAAAAACAATTAAAACACAAATAAATAATTTGGACATTTCCTGGAGTGGAGTGGTGGTATTACTCAACTATGCGCTCGCCTGACGGAAAGCTGCCAACTTGCGAGAACTGCCCAACGGGGAAATAATTTGGATATTTCCTGGAGTGGAGTTGTGGTATTACTCAACTATGCGCCCGCCTAACGAAAAGCTGTAAACTTGGGGGAACTTCCCAATAGGGAAATAATTTGGACATTTCTTTGGAGAACGGACCTTTTGTGCGAACGTTTTTTTTGCGCGAGTGAATTTTGCAAATATAGTCTCGCGAAAACAGACCGGCATACGGAGACCACTGTGTGGGTTTGTGGTAACCGAGTTTATTTGGGAAATTGATGTTTGCAATTTAAACGACCATATCCTACGAATTGTTTGAATAAATTAATTTGAATTTTTTCAGAAAGAATATGGGTTATAATTCTGGATTTGGTGGCATGCGTATGCTTCGTAATGGGACAATGCTATAATTATCAGCGGTCACGTTTCGGTACTCAGAAAAGTGAAATCAGACGAACACTCTGCATCAGTGACGATTTTCCCTCTTTGGTCGGGGTCATTGAAGATAATCAGATTGTGTAATTTGGGGGAAAAGGCGTCAATAGTTCATGTGAATCCTATCCTAAGCCGCGTTTCACATGTTTTACTCACTTAATCGTACACGTGTTCTATCTCTCTTGAAACATCATCCATTTTTACCGGTAAATATATCCCAAAACCCACAATAGAGTCCGGTAGCCGAATAGATTAGAGTCGAAAAATTTGTGATTTATATATCCAGGGGCGAATTAAGCCCCTTTGGTGCACTAAGCACTGAAGACTTTGGTGCCCACTCATGTGTAATTTATTTATAAAAAACAATAAACCACATAAGTGTATTATCCATAAAAATAATCACAACCAACAGTAAATAAAACAACTTTTACGAACATTTTTATGTTATTTAACTGTTATATATATATAGCCGATATATATATCGGTCGTTTACTGCCGATATGATATATGGACAAACACGCAGTATCGGGCCGATATATCGGTTGAGATCCAATCCTGAGGGAGTGTGACAATAAAGATTCATGCCTCCAGTTTCAACGTGAATCGAAATACCAAAAGATACAAGTCACAACTGTAGTTTGAAATTCTACCAACATCTAGTAGTCTACCTCAGGGTGGTTCAGGGTTGCTAGGTTGAAGGACCGCAAAAAACTTTTGACGAGGTCTCGTGGTCCGCAAGTCGGAGAAAACCCAGAAATGATCTAATGATCGCGAGTTTACTTAAAATTTAATAAACAACGAGAGTTTACCGTTCTAATCAGACTATTATTATTTTGCATTGGTGGCGTTCTTTTAAAGAAGATATATAAAGCCTTCAGTTATTTTAAAGTTGATTCCCGAGAATTACCGTTGTATTTTGCGCATCTCACGTTTAACCTAATTCAGACGCCCAATCGAGCCCAATTTTGAATACATTTTTATTAATGTCATACGACCCCCAAAATTTACCCAATATACAATAATTATATACCATTGGAAAGGTCTTTTAGAGTACTATACGCTAGATGTCACTGGAGGACCGTAAACTAAAACACCTCTTTCAAGAGGTCTCTCGTAACGTCAAAAAATAACAAAAATATTTACACTCTCTCATTCTATCATCTGTTGGACGTGTATAGCTATTGAAAAGCGCAAATGTGACTATACAGTTGACTGCACATTGGTTTTCTCTTTCATATGATACTAAACGCTTTTCGTTAGCTCGTGTCGTTGAAGCGTTTTGGAAATTTTCCGTTTGAGAAGTCACCACATCGAATCAGGCCAGGCTAGGCTTGATAGATCGATCGGTTGTTTGTTTGTGCTTTATCGCGTTGAAAGCTTTTGTGAGTCATAATAAAACATTTATTATGAATCATAAAAGCTTATAATCGTGAGACAAGGAGAATTTGCGAGATAAAACGCCTATGTGAACTAACTTTTTTTCGGTGAGGCAGCTGCGATCAAACGACTCGATATTTTTATACCTTCCTGACGTTGTGAGATGTCCACTCTCCTATGTTATGTAGCATATAAAAGGACCTTCAAAATAAGACCTTATCATACTAGCTTTTGTTATTGGTTAGCGCGCAACGCCAAGGTTTATTGAATTATTTTCTTGCTGTGCGACGTTTTTCTATCGCAGCGGGAAGTACACTCGTGAAATGTAAGCGATATTTTATGACTTCCAAATGTCATATAACGTTCATTCTTATATTGCTGGGTAGGAAATGAGCTATTCTTCTAAACAAGACCATAACAAACATTCCAGACCTCATGGTTTACACACAGCGTCTGAAATTGCGCTAATGCACCCATTCGCTCAGAACAGGTTTGTCGCTTCAAATTATATTCTTTCGTGACAGATATTACTTGAAATCATGCCAGACACTTTGTGATGGGAAAGGAAATACGTTTCCGCCGTGTTTGTCCTTATGTCACCTTTCTTGCGACACTCATTTTATTACGAATTGTTATATTGAGTAATTTAAAAACTTGCAGCGTGAGCAAGCTCAGTGCCACCGTCAAATACCAACCAACTTCGTCTAAGTTGGTATTTCGGGACCTAGCTAAAAAAAAACTGGATTGCGCTGTGGTAATTCGGCTCTGCGTTTCGTCACTACTGTCACGTGGCCGACGCTTAAAAACAGAGGAGAGTTTTCACTAAAATAAAGGCACAAAGCGTTAGGAAAAGCGTTTGAATCTCGGGATCCCAACCCCAGGTGGGCTAAAAAAACTCAAAAACGTTAGATAACCATCAGATACGAATATACGCTGAAATTTTTCGGTGAGCCGCACGGAATGTATCAGCATGACAGGGTTTGGACCACCCTGGTCTACCTTATCAAATAACTCCCGACTTCGCTGACCACTAGATCGTTAAAATGCGATCGTGAAACCGCCACATAGTGTAAATAGTTCATTGGTCCAATTGTTGAAGACAAAATAATTTTTTTTAAACAAAAATGCAGCAACAAGGAGAATACTAGAAAAAAAATTCAAGAAAACGACTCATAGGCCCATTTCCTGTCCAAAAAAAGGTTTCAGTGTTTATTTTTAATAAAGAAGGTTAATATGATACTTGAAGACAAAAAATAAGCGAACATTTTGAAGTTTGAGTCGTCTGGTGAACTCGTAGTATTTTTATAAACACTGATAAACTATATAAAATTCTGCTCTAAAATTTCTGTGGTTCCCCTCTTTGCTCGGTGCCCTAAGCACGTGCTTATATTGTTTAATGGTTAATTCGGCGCTGTATATATCTATCATATTTCCACTGACCCGTATCGGGGGTGGCCAACACGTCGATCACCACGTCTCGATGGGCAGATTGCATCTCATTTTGCGTAAAGTAAACGGCATGCCTAATATGAATTTCTGTTCAACTAATACCTGAACATCACCTGACAAAACTGAACCCACGAAAGCTCTACAATTAAATGGTGAGGATTTTTATTTGGTATGTGCGATTCCGCGAGAGTTGTTAAGGCACTTCTTTAGCTAAAACCTCTCTCTACTCCAACTTGAACCTCTCGAAAATTTACGGCACAATCCGGCAACGCAATATGCAACGTATCCGATCACGAAATCGTACCCTACATTTCACGAGCACCCACATTTATTTCCCAGTTAATATTGAATATTTAGTTTTGCAACCTATAATCTAGGCCAGGGTAAACTAGAATTCAGTCAACGCGGGACAACATTAGTATGACCCGTAGCCCCAGTTTTGGTGACCTAAAGAGAGGACACTTTTTTGATGTTTAATTTGAAATTTAATACTTGTACATATTTGTGTGTGACAATATTATTGATCAGTCGATCGCAAATTGATGACTAATAATGCTTTCCTTTGATGACAACTGCAATTCCAAAGTATGGGAAGGAACGTTTCGGTCGGTATAGTTTCTTATAGCAGGAGCACCCGCAGGGTACCTGAAAAAGTAAGGAGTTATATACATATATTACATGTGTCTGTTGAATACTTCAAAGCAATAATGGGATATTTCAATTTGAACTCTCATATCTTAACCAGGTTTTATTTTTTGGAATATCAAAACGTTAGTATAGTAGTAGTAACCATAACCATGCTCTCTGTAATATTTCAAGACCCTCAACTTATAGCTACTTGAAATCATTACCTGTACTGTAACGTAGTCTTCATAATAATAGCCGCCATATGAGTAACACGCTTTTATTTTTGTCGAGCAAACTTTGGTGTGGCAAGCACAGTTTTTGTATGAGCCACCATGTCCTCCGTAGTTGCAATAATGCCCAGCATTTCTGTAAAGAATTGTTTTGAATAAATCATTTCGTAGTTAGGCGGGCTTTTCTACTAAGGGTGGATGACATTTCTGAATGCAGAATATTTGCTGACACAGCATGGTAAGTAACTGTTGCCAGCTATTTTGATATATAAATTTTGTATGCAAGGAATGGAAAAGATGAAGTGCAAACGCATTCAAAGCATCATTGGCAACTTGTGCGTTCTCGCTATGAAAAAAAACAAGCCCTAAGTATTAGATGGTATATAATAGTAGCTTAATCATAGAAACACTGTGTAGGCTATACTTACGAGCATTCTTTTGCATAGAGGTAATAGTAGATTTTCGAAAGTTTCACGTATCCGTGGCAAGAACTCTTCCCATAGTAAACATCAAGATAACAGTAGCGTGCGTAGCATTTGTGATAATATCCGTAGTTGTGGCCATACCCATAACCATACGCCGAACAATAGCCATTAACATCGTACGCGCTGCAGAAAATAAACTAAGTTAACGTGAGAGGCAGAGCTGTGAAGATATGGAAAAATGACGTTTGATCAAATAGGAGCTAGATTTTTGAAGATGCACCTCCGACGACGTTAAAAGCACATAGTCGGTAACATCGCCAATAAATATTATTATGATGTTATATAAAACTTATATTTATGGTTACCTATTCGCAAGTCGACTCAAATCAAAGTATACTCACTAGTGGATGTTGTCGCAACGCTTTCCATAATGTCCTGTCGCAGGATAGTTGCTTGGGTATTTGTAATTGTAGTTGTTGTAGTGGCCGTACAAAACCTTTAAATATGTATATATAGTTCAGATGGGTGGATGCGTAAACAATGGGTGCGGAGGAAGCATCGGAAGAAATCGTTTTAACTCTCTTCCAGCTGTTGACCCAATTTATTTGACATGGTCTTTTTAAAGTTATTTTTTTTGTCAACCACTAAGCCCTAAAGCTTCTCTTATGGATTTTTAAAAGCGTGTGCTAGAGTTCCATTCAGCAATATATCTTTAAAACACACTCCGAAAATAAAAATTTTTTGCAAAAATATCTCAAAAATTTCTAAAAAAAAAATGGACCTTGAGAAATTCTGTGTACAGTAGAGGGTTAATAAAAAATTCGTGATGTAAACGATTTCCAATTCGAAAAATATTTTCAATACTACAAACCTTTTTAGCTGCGCATCCGTAAGAAGGATTAGTGTGCCCAAACGCCATTGCACAAAGTGCAAGGAAAAATGATAGACGAAGAAGCATCATTTTCGTTTTTCTATTTGACGCCAATTGCCGTAATAATGAGCAAATGGACGAAGAACAGGTTACAATGAAAAATAGTCATTTGTCACCAGATTTTATACTTTTTCGTGGACAATCCCCCTTTTTTTAATTCAACGTTACTACAGATGTAATCACCCAAGGTTTCTGTTGTTTTATCCAAATAAGAGAGAGGATAACGCGGACCAATGTTAGACTTAGTTTAAAAAAGATCGGTACTTCACGTAAATATTTTTGTAGCATTAGAACATGTCTGCTGATGTTTACCACAATTCAATTATAATCATCTGGTATTTGCCTGGAGACAAAAAACAAAAATCTATGATTAGATAAATGTAATGTTGAGATACCACTTTTTAAAACATCGAGAAATTGATATTATCTTTCAATAATAAACTCCATTTAAAGCATGCTAATAACCAGGTTTTATATAACAATTCCAAACTAAGGAACGTGTTTTTATTTTTGGTGTGTAACTGTATTATTTATTTAATGTTCGTTACACTTTTGCGCTAATCAGTGGTAATATAACCTCGATCCCAATATTCAAATAATGCGCTTTTGGTAAAATAAGATACATTGGCCGATTCTTATGTTGCAATTAGACCAGGGCAATTTTCCTCTGTGACATGTTTTGATTCAGTTCCAGTCTTGTTCCCAAAAGTCCTGAAATCAATCTGTTTATTGAAAAAGTTACGCTGTTGAGATCAGCTAATTGATATATCGTCACGCTAATAACCGTATTGCGTAAGTCATTTTTAGCAGTTTTAAGAAAAACGTGAAAAACTTCCTAATGATATTGTTATGCCATTGCGAGTCAATAATTTGCCATGGTTTAATTTTTTGATCGTAGCCGAATTTAAGTTAATTTGTATGAAGCAGTTAAGTGACGTCATAATGGCGCACTGTGACTTAGGTAGAAATGTGTCTATGACTTGGGACATACGCAATTTTGCAACTTTACTATATGCACCAGTCCTGGAAACTAAACATTCCAAAAACGGATGTAATTCTCAGTATCTACAATGTCCAATCCCCAAAATAGCTAATCAGTTTCAATTACATTATTTTTTATGTTTAAAAATATATATTTCATCAATATAGCACAGGGTCGTCCAACCCGTGGCCCACGGGCCATATGTGGCCCGCGGAAGCATTTCGAGTGGCCCGCAATGTATTTTTCAGAACTGAATAAAAAAAAATTGAAGTAAAACTATTTTTCGAGTGATGTAGTATACAAAGATGTGATACAAGCGATTTTTTTCTTGAAATGAGCTCTGCCAGCCCTTTCCAACGAGCCATTAGTGCCACTTTGAATCGAAACCAACTGGGAGGCGATATCGATGAATAAAGGTGCCATAGCCGCTTACACACTTGGTCTTTTACTACACCATATGACGTTATCGCAAAACAATCGAAGCATTCTCAGATTGAGAATTTGTCAAGGAATGTATATTATGTATTGTTCATGTTGCCAACGTTTTACGTCCGGAAATAAAAGAAGTTTTTGCCAAAATGGCCTGTCAAGACAGACCATAACTCGTCATGTCGAAGAGCATGAGAACTCGAAGCGGGAAAATTTCCATCGTATTCCTTGGCGCTTGACGAAAGCACTGACATCTTCTTGCGGGGGAGGTACCGCAATGATGATTTTGAAATTACCGCAAAGCTCGCAGCCATTGTCCCTATTTTAAGGGTACGACAAGAGGCATTGGTCTGTTCGGAGCTGTGATGAAAAATATCAAGCGTCTTGGCATGTCTTTGGCAAAACTACCGGAAATAACTACTGATAGCGCCCCATCAATGTTTGGGAAACAACAGTTTTATTGGTATAATAATTGTGAAAGTTTGGTGTGCGGGTATTGTTTGTTTTTCCATTAACCTGTAGTCAGTGTAGCAAAACTAGAACATAATGCCATGTTAGGTGGCCCGCGCAATTATTAGTAAACTAAATGTGACCCTTCGGCCAAAAAGGTTGGACGACACTGATATAGCACGTTCTGCACACCCACCGAAATAAGATTAAGATTGAATATAAAGAATAAAACAGCAATGCATCCAATATAAAAGCCAACCAAGGCGAATTGGACTCGGACAGTGAATATCACAAGTGCACGCCTTCCTATACTGTAGTATAAATTCGAATTAATACGCGCTAAGCTAGAATCCGAGATACAAAAACTCGAAAATACTTCGCAGAGGTTATTTTTGCCTTTGTGACGTCACAATAGTACTGCGGTACCAATGATAATTCATTATGACGAAACAATTGCACAAATGTGCATGTTATACTAAATCTCCATTTTTATGGGTTTCGGAATTCTTAAAATAAAATCTGAGTTAACAGACAGGTGCGCAGCATTACATAAACACCTATTTTATATAAAAAAAACTCAAAATCGCCAAAAATGACTTACGCAATTCGGTTATTAGCGTGACGATATGGTGTGTCGTGGGTTGGTCTCATCAGCGAGCGTATAAGTGTTTATTGCTACATGATAGTCACGATGATAACATGTTTTGCTATATTTTAATTATGAAACGTAGAAATTAGCCTAATCTGTGACATCCCACCATGTAATCCGCAGGCAGTTTAAAGTGTTTTTAAAATCGTGTTCGTGATTGCCAAAAACAAATTTAAATAGATTTTAAATAGTTTCGTGATTTTTTTTTCTTTAGATTAAATGAAAATACACTTGTCAACAGTCAGAACCTGGAAACTACCGAGACCGAAAACTTGATCTGTAAGTAAAAATAAACCTGATGTCAAACCCGCTGAAAAACGATGATGCTGTTTAAAGATGCATTTATAGATGTAAATGATGATATCGAAAATTGTTTAACATAGAAAATGCTTCCTCGTGTTACTCTTATCATGTTCGAATTAACTTACTGAAGTTGAATCCTCAGTTAATATAATCATTTACCATCAAACCACTTTATTTAAAATATCTACAGCAAATGCGCATAATGAAAGGTAAAACTCTGTCATAATAACTGATTTTTAAAGTGTGCATACAGAGTTACAAATCAACTAAGGTCACAAATATTACCCACTGTTTAATTATTTTGGCATTGGTCACGACATCGAGCGTTTACTAAATTCTTGGATTTATAGTTCTGCAAAAATCGGTTTCATTAGCAACTATCGGACCTACCGTGACGGAAGAAGTCGCTAGAAGGCTACTGCTTTTATATTGAATTTTCGAGGCCTACAGGGCGCTACAATACCGATTTTTGCTATTTTATTTTACTGGGGAAACACCTTTTCAATGTTTAAAATCGGTATCCATATATTTGAGAATGGATTTCTTGTTAACACATATATATCGCAAAAGGCCCTGCTCGTCTTAGTGTCCATTTCTTCAAATATTTACAACATTTTCAAGAAATTGGCTAGTTCTCATTCATCCGGCGATAAGGTTTCAGCGTTAATAAAATTTCATATACTTCACCTTTTCGTTATGATTTGTGATAAGTCGCCAAGCAGGAATAACCATCATTTTCGAAAAAACTTATATAATCTTCGTCAAAAATGAAGCATGCAGGAAAGTGCTTTTTTTTAGGCTTCGTTATTGCTCGAATAGTAGAGAATCAATAAGCAAAAACGTTAAAAACATTTCGATTTATTTATTTTGCGTTTGCCGTTGTTGTTTGGGCGCATTTTATGTTAAAGCAATAAAGTGTGATGTTTTCTGACACTTTGACAACGTTGTATCAAGAAAATAAGACCAATAACAAGCCAGCAATAGGAATTAGCTAGACGAAGGACAAAAGTTTTCCAAATCTTACAATATAAAAATACAGAACAAAACAGATAACTTAATAATACCACCAAATTACTAAATATAAAGGAAATACAAACTCCAATAGGATGTTTCAAAATTTTGACCAGCCTTACCATTTTTAAGCTTGGAATAAGAGGGTGGACTATTCCTGATTTTTTGTTTGTTTGATGTTTGACCCACAGAATGAGACCACCGGAAAATTGCGTTTTGTCATTTACTTTAAAAAATACAATCGCTGGGTAATTTTAATGTCCTTTAATAAATTGAGTTGTGCAACATTCGATTCAGATTTTGTAATAGAAATAAATTTGTTTGATCCAGATTTAATTTTCATGTTCGGGAATGCCTAGAGCCCGACGGAGGAATTCATTACTTCGATACGGTGAGTGGTATTAAAGATTAGTCATTGATATATTTCAACAATTGATGCCCTGCGTTCAGAATCGATACTATAGTATCAAATCACACTCCATGTTGCACCACTTTAAATATGAGATCTTCAGGCGTGTGCGTGAATCGCAGAAGCTCATTACCTCATCGCATATCGGGTGCTTTTCCAAAACAACTTTAGTCCACAAGACACCTAAAAGGTCTCAGATAGCTATTCAATAAGGACAAGCGCAATATATAATGTTCGAAATAACAGGGACTACATAAACTGATCAAAACCAAAGTAACAACAATGAGTTATACATTTATTTATTGAACTGACGGATAGCGTTTGTAGTTAGTTACTAAATGAGTTAATTCCGCAACGCTCAACGTTGCAACATTGTTAAGAGTTGGATGACGAAATTTACAATGGCTTCGAGGCGATTATCTCGGAAAGTAGATACACAATCTGCAATTCTTGTGGTTATCGTGATTTATTGTATATAAATAATACAACCAACATTATACACTTGTATAATGCTCAAACGCTCAAAGTTGCAACATCATTGAGAATTGAATGACGAAAGGTGCAATAGCTTTAAGGCGATTATCTCGGAAAGTAGATACACAACCTGCAATTCTTGTGGAACTCGTGATTCATTGTATATAAATAATATAACCTTGGTCCTACATTATAACTTTCGATTGTATAGCTTATCTAAATAAATGTTGTATGTGATCCCGCGGGAAAGCTGATGAATGTTCAACTGCTGTCATACATTTGGACCAAAGCTACAGTATAATTTAGAACACTCTGTCAAATATGATTGCCTTAAATTGAGCAACTGTTGTTAACGTTTTACCGATGAATTACGTTCGTTCTAAGTATTTTGAATAGCCTCTTATAACTGAACTCTATGACTCAGTGCCCAGAACCAATCAGGCTACTTTTGAACTGCGACGCCTTTTTTATCAAAAGAAAAGGTCACGCGTTTCGTCGGATTCAGAATTGTGTTGAAGCATTGTGGTCGTGTCACAATATCACAAAACAATTAAAAACAAAGTTACAATACCCCAAAATTTGAACAAGTTAAACCTTTGACTAAAACATATGCGTGGATTCAGTGGTGGGATTCATCCGGTTCGCACCGGTTCTATAAAACCGTCTCACGGAATTTTATGAGATAAGCAAACAGGTTAGCATAACTGTTTACTGTCAATGTTGTGTTTGTAACAAAACCGGCTGAACAATATGACTTTTGTGATAGTGCAGGGACCGTATACTGGCGCGTATGCTTTCCTCTTTCCTATATTAACGTCTCAGTATCTTGTGCTATACTTTCCTTAAGTTCTGGGATTTTTATTAACAGTATAATATTAAGTCACAGTCTTCTCTCTCATCATCCATTTTTTTTTCTTTCAAGAGGCAATTCGCCGACTTATATATTTGACAGCACAGATGGGCCGCCAAAAGTGTCATATCATTAACACACGACACATTTTGTTGTCGCCCGTCTATTTAGTCGAATCAAGGTTGACACTACAGGCTCCGCTGTCGCGGTATTCGCACGATTAGGTGAAGTTATATTGAACGACAATGAGAGTGACCCACAGATACCAGCAATAGAACCGGCTGACAAAAAATTTAAATCCCACCACTGCGTAGATTGAGTCCACATTGAAAGCATCGGTCATGCAGATTGGCACCGGTTTCTTGAATCATTACTGTCAAATCAAAGTTTTTGATCACAGTCTCCGCGACATCAGCAATTCACAATATTACCGATGAACCGTTGCTGAAGAACAGGTTTGTCCAGAATATGGCGGGCTACCTTGACGAAATGCTACGTGGTGATGAATTATACACAAAAAATCAGAGTGAAATATCAAGCATAACCAGAGACTTAACAAAAATATTCAAAAAAAATTTCCTTTTTCTTAAATTCTATACATTTGTCTCGTAACTTCAGTCTAAAAAATCCTTGTTAAGAAAATTGACCGACAATTCAGCAATATCACTGCTAGGTTTGTCGTCAAAATTAAATTTCAAATCGCAAGAAAATCACGCAAGTTATGAGCTATGTGTTTCTCCAGTCATGAGTGAGTCATGAGTGAGTACGTGTTATCCACCCTCGGCATAAATTAGGGCATTGTATGACTTATTAAATTGGCATCATTAAGTTTCCTGCAATTTCCAGCATGGTTATTGTATCAAAGAAAAAGTAATAAGCCAAAATACTAAAATATTTTTCAAGTACTCATCTGTAATTCTGCGTTTTTGTAGAGATAACGGAAGACTAACTGGCTGGACAATTATCCTTCTAAAAAGAAGCTAATTCTTCATCCTCCTAACCTCCAGAGCTAATTGAAAGTCAATTTTTCATTCATTTTTTATTTGCAGCTGCAGCCTTTGTTATTACACTAACAATCAAGAGTTCTACTTTATCAAATAGATTGAAAGAATGATCTAGTTACGCACACATGTTTTATATATATATATTATATATATATATTATATATATATATGTATTTACGGCGCTTTGATGAAGCGCTAACAAAAACTCTTACATTCGTTAATTATCGATAATAATTAACAAATTTACCTGTTGACAGATTCAGTTAAGTTTCAAGACGACATCTTAGATTTGAAAAGTGGCAATTGTTAATTCAAATATAGCAAAGCAGAAGCAAAAAACAGATATTCAAAAATTTAAAATCATTTCAGTAATATGCAAGAAATAATAGTAGTTGATGATAAGGCCAAAACTTCACTGCACAAATACGTAATTGATTTCAGACAAATTTTAAAAGACGATTTTATTTTCCAGTTCCTTAGTATTTAGTATTTAGTATATATCATAATGACCATTGTTCTGCTTATATCCTTTGTAGCAATAACATCCACAAGGTACCTGAGAAAAAAAAATATGATGAGTTGAAATGAAATTTCACAAAATTGGGCCACTGGACCTGATAGCATGTTGACAAAACTTATTGGAGAAGTAGGCTATTAGAGAAAGATAGATTAATTAACGGACTATGCGAGAAGCCATATTTATTCATATTCAGTTGACTAACATGAGAGACGTGATTGTATTACGTTGCTTTTTCATCAGAATTTGATTCAGATTGCTTCTGATTATGATTTCAATTTCCAACTGGCTTATTAAGCGATCAGACTATGGTTTCATCATTTGTTTATATACCCGACTGATTTTTAAAGCTTCATTAGAATATTGCAAAAATGTATACTCGCACCTCTACTTCTACTATGCCCTTGTAATGCTGGCCTTTGTATTTAAAGCATGCTTTAAACTGATGTTTGCACTTGCTCGTGTAGCAGTAGCATTTGCTGTAATGTACTTGTTTCGGTTCATAGTATCCTGGCTCAGGTCCATGGTATCCTGGCGTCAATCCATGGTAAAGGTAATTTTGGCATGATTTTCCGTAAGTATAAGAACTGGAATGAATGAAAAAGACATCAAAATAATTTCTGAATTAAAGATAATGTGGTTTTGTGAAACTATTATTATTGTATATTGAAGTGCCTTCTTTTCTATACCCTTTTCAATAAGTTTTTATGTTGCTCGATATTGATTAGGCTTGTATTTTCTGAAATCAGATAATTTTGGATACACAATATTAACGCATTGTTAACATTCTTTTTCTCGTTTTTAACAACCTACATCCGGCCTACAAAAATTCATAGTACAAAAATTTCCTCACGTGCATTCGTTTCCGCTATAGTAATACACTTTAGAGAGCTTTACTTTGCCATGGCATTTGCTAGTTGCGTAGTAGTAAGCAGTATGACACTTTTGGTCGTCGCAATCTTTGTCATTCGTTGCATAACCGAATTTTTTATTTGGACAAAATCCAACTTTTGGGAACCAGCTGCAAATAATATCGACAGTAATTATTAAACAAAGTGCAAACTGAATGCTATGGAACGGCGTAAAACCCCTACAATATTAATAAAAAGCTGTTGAATGACGAGATGCATATCTCTAGTCCTTTTCGGGTAGGATATTGTTAACTTCAATTACTGTACTTCATCTCACTCTACCTTTCGGGGAGTTATGAAATTAGTTATAGTAGATCTTTAGATCTGGCTAGTTTTATTAAGTGCAAATTTTTCAAACTTATAAATAGAGATTGTATGAAGCTGAAGTATGATTACAATAGCAATGATTGGCGGTAGAATTGTATACAGAAAAGTGTAATAAAGAAACCCATTATTATCGAAACAGCATTTTAACATGGTTGCATGGTTTGCGACATATTTGAACACGAAAATATTCGATTCCGATATTTCATACTTACTACTTTGAACTCTGGCATTTTTTTCCAGATTGCTTGTAATAATTATACGGTTTTCCATGAATGTATTTGTAGCCATAGTAGTACTTGGGACTAACCTTCGTAGAAAAAGAAAAAAGTTCTTTATGTTAGAATTTACATAATATATAAAAGGCAAGTTTATTAACATCAACAAATCAATATATATTAACGTCAATAATTAAATACTGGTTACTGAGTAGGACTGGGCAAAATATAATAATATCGTGTCGAATATTAGAATAGCAGTTTACTATTCGAATATCTGGTAACACGTGACATGGACACGCCCCACCACTTGCGCGTCGCTGTCTCAAAGGCTTGGATTGTACAACGCACTAGATTTCTGATGACCAAACGAGAATCTGCATACACTTTATTTACTATAACAAACAAACACGTGAAAACTTTATTTGCGTTATGGGTTTATTTATTTATTTTTAGTGACCATGATATTGTTTTCGCCTGTGCATAATATGCGCCAATGTCGCGTGAACTTTTCAGTGGGCCGTTTTGTAAAATACAATAATTTATCGATACAAGTATTGAATGAAGCAACTACACAAAGATTTCAGCACTATATTAATTTGAATATGTAGAAATGCCATTAAGTCAATTTCATCCAAATTATAGACGGGTACGCAGTGACGACATGCCAGAAGTTTTATATCACGCAAAAATAACATAACTCGATGGGTAAATAAAAACAGATAGGGACAACGAATCCCGGCGAAAGTAGCAAACATATCATTCAATTTTTACTTTGTGTTGACGATAAGGACGATCAAAGCCGACACGGAAGATAGCGATCAGAGTGAAATTAATTTGGAAATTCGTGTTGCAAATTCATTCATATAATTGTGCTGACCGTTTGTCGCCAATAATCGCACAATACCTTTCGAGTTCGTTCAACAGAACGCGCAGTTCTGCAAAAAAAAAAAAAAACTTGACATCGATGTACACCCGGGCTCAAGACTTGCATACGTAATAATTAGAACCGACAGTCGAATGTAGATTGCCAGAACAGCAATCACACCAAAATCACGAAACATATCTAAACATACTAAACATTCAGAATGACTGCTTACAAACTCATTTAGAGCGGTCCACATAGTCTGGCCAGTCCCGGGTAACAATGACATCGTTTGGCTTTTATGGATTCATTATGACGTCATATTATGCATCCCCGTTTATGCAATTTATGATGACGCCATAAATCAATTTAATATGCGCGACATTACTAACAAAATAAATTAATTCGGATAAATAAAAATATAAATATGTATAGCTATATTTTAACATTTTCATTTTTTAAAAAACAAATAAAGGTATTATTATGGAAAAACTGTTCAATTAATTCAAATTAGCGCCTTATGTATAAGGTAAAAGAGAAGAAAATTTTTAAAATTCAAAATTTATCCGACCGTAATCAATTTTAATCAACCGTGAATATTTGAAATATAAATTAACCTGATCAAAAAAAAAAAACGGTTTCATTCTATAAGGAGCCTCTAAAATTTAAAAACGACTTAAAAAGGAACTTCCGTTCGTAACTGAATGACTAGGCTTCAGCCTACGTCAAATAATGACAAATCCGGCTCTGCACATAACTGATGTTCTTGGAACAAACATTTGGCAGAAACTTTTCATTTTCATTTTTTCGTTTTGTTTAACGTATACTCTAACAGTAAATGGGTGAGATCTTACATCCAATCTAGTACGGTGGCTGAAAACAATTTTCTATGGCTCATGAAAACAGTTCGGTATAATATCTATAAATAAAAACACAGGAGGTAACATTGCACTAACCTTTTCTACGTAGCACTTTTTTGGTGGACGGTAGAAGTTGCCGAGCGCCAATGCACAAAGTGCAAAAAAAAACGAAAGTCGAATAAGCATCATCTTCCACGTGGCAACTGACTCGATCTCTTTGTATTGAAATCGAAGTAGTTAGAAGAGAAAAAACTCGTACACTGCTGGAATGGTTCATCCGATGCCACTTATATACTCGTCAATCTTCCTATTTCTTTTTTTCCCCAGATATATCTGGGATTAACCATTCCGGATTGAAACAACGTCGACCAATGATTTGCGAGCATTTATTTTTACAGAAAAGAAGTTACAAGTGCAGTGTCATCTGGCATAGTAATTTGTATTTCCGGTTGTTATTCAGTACAGTTTATTATATTCTGCAGGAATAAAATGTATAGTTCACCTCAAGGGGTATATGATACAAAAATCGACCCTTACGCGAATGAGTAAATATTATACTGATATTCCATTGCATTTTACAATACATTAAGTATACTTGGTATTTTAAATACATTTCAATCAAATCGTCGAAATCCTTCGTACTCGATAGAAAATAGATGGTTGATTTGAATGAGGAGATGAAAATCACGAATTATTGATATTACATTGCAGTTTGATCGAGGCTTCAAATTCATGCTCGTTCGCGTGTGTGAATGAGTCACGAGTGGATCCACTCTAAATGTCAAAACCATCACCAAGTACAAATACCCGCTAAAATAATAAAAGCATTCACCTTCAATATATAAAGTATTTTCTGTATTATACAATAGGCAATTACCAGTCGGAAAGCGACTCAGCTTTCCAATAACCTGGATTTTCCGGTTCGACAGCCCAAGCACTTCGTTAACCTTGTGTGAGATGGAGAGAGAAACCGGAGCACTAACCAGAAAATAATCTGATTAAAGGAATTAGTATATTATCTAAAATTTCTGTTTCTTTATTACCTGTTAATTTTATATATTTTAGTTATTTAGGATACTTCTAGTCTTTAAACACTTGAGTGTTGAAAAACCGAGTGTCGTTGATTTGGCTTTTTAATCACGTTATCTCATAAATAATCGTCAGTTATTTCGTTGTAGTTAAAGTTTACCAAAAACAAGAAAACCACAAGCTCTAAATAATGCAAAGTCATTAGGCCAGGAGCAACGAAACTTAATTCTGAGGTAAATCTTAATTTTAGATTAATATTACGGGATGAAACCGGAAATAATTTAATGAAATTGTATACATATTACCAATCAGCGCAGGATGCTTTTTGAAAATGAAAATGAATTGAAATGGAAATACAGTAGAAGAAATTAAGAAAACATATAAGAATAAAACGAGAATATCGGTCGGAGACCGAAAACTTATCGATCGAAACTGCGGTTTCGATTTATGACCTTATAGTGACACCCGCGTGTCTCATCACTAATTAATTAATAACTCGCTAACTAAACGACATAATTCATCCAAAATCAATAGGCTTTTGGTCCGAGATATGATGAATGTACAGGCAATTTGGAGCAGAATCAACCACGCGTTCGTAAGATATCGCGTGCATCTAACAGATAAACACACAAATACCTATCAATATACTTACCGATCTAAAGATCGATAAGTAATAATAGGAAGAAGAATGAAGCTTAGCAGGAAAGATAGTCGACGTGTTAAAAGACACAAAAATCACACAACGTCTGATAGAGTTATAATTATATAGAATTATAATTGAATTTCATTCAATTCTGTATTTCTGATTTTGCACTACTCAGCATTTTTTTTCTCTATGATTCAAGTTATATAATCAATTCAAAGTTGATTCGTCATGAATTTAAATAGACAAATATTAGTATGATTCGCGAATCAATCGCTATTTTCGATTGTTTATTATTGCCAGTGGAAATCCACTAGATTTAATCAAAAAGTGCGAGTGATAAACAAAAGTAAACTTGAAAATTATGTAACAAGAAATTGTATAATGCAAAAATAATACCCGATGAAGTTTGACGAGATTCTGATCTAACCTTGTTTCTAAATATTTAGGCTTAACTATAATTCAGTATTTGATGGAAAAAAGGAAGAAAAAGAACCAAAAAAAAAAGTTATCGAAGTTTTAAAAGCGTCATTGTTGAAGCTGCCTTTATTTTTGAAGTTGTTACTTAATTCCATTTATACTAGAAAATATGATAAATATTGTGAGACACCTTCTTGATGAGTACGGTAATCTTCCTTATCAAAAAAAACTCCCCACTAATCTGATCACCCGATCGCCGAAATGCGATCGCAGAACCGCCACACAATGCTCAAATTTGAATTTTGATGAGGTCATCACACAAAACTTTTAAGTGAAAAACGAATCCAATAGAGCCCACAAACTTTTTCGAAATAAATAAAACAACAATAATCGTTACCCCCCGAAAATTTTAAAGCAATTGGTTCGGTGATCTAGAAATATGTGTACCAATGTGAAGGTAACTAATTTTCATTGCCTACTTTACATCAAGTTTTGTAAAGGGACTGAAACCTGTGGGCAGGGGGTATATTCACTTGGCTCACACAGACAGTCCCCGAACTCGTAATAGAACTAAAATAAGAAAATCGGAATAAAATTATGGCCTAACTCTAACCTGGCACACATATTACGGGTGCACCTTTGGTTCAGTAATTAAAGAGAAAAACAACAAAAATGACAACAACAAGAATACCAAGAAAAATACAACCCACACACTAAAAATGTAAAATGTGTATTGGCTCCCGTACCATTCCCGTATGGCTTCGCTAATTGAATGAAAGACAACGCTCTGATACATAACACATGGTCATGTATACAACACATATAAAATCGACTGGCTGTATTTGTACATTCTTTGAATGGCTGTATAAGCATAGTGAATTGACTGTCTATGCATATATGACATTTGTTGTACATGTATATGTGATTGGCTTTGAATGTATATTTGTTGAATGTTGCTATATGTATATTTTTGTTGCTATATAATAGATTTTAAATAGTTTCGTAAAAATTGTTTTCTTTAGATTAAATGAAAATACACTTGTCAACAGTCAAAACCTGGAAACTACCGAGACCGAAAACTTGATCTGTAAGTAAATATAAACCTAATGTCAATCCCGCTGAAAAACAATAATGCTGTTTAAAACACTAATGGCATTTTTAGGTGTAAATAAATGATTTTCATTATCGAAAATATTTAACACGGAAAATGCTTCTTCGTGTTACTCTTATCATGTACGAATTAAAGTACTGAAGTTGAATCTTCAGTTAATATAATCATTTACCATCAAACCACTTTATTTAAAACATCTACAGCAAATGCGCATAATGAATAGTAAAACTCTGTCATAATTACTGATTATTAAAGTGTGCATATAGAGTTACTAATCAACTAAGATCACAAATATTTCCCACAGTTACCTTATCTTGATATTGGGCAGGACATGGAGCTATGGGTCGTTTACTAAATTGTTGGTTTTATCCTTGTTGTGCAAAAATCGCTTTTCTCGGCAACTATTGAACCCATCTTCGCTAATGACGACAGAAGTCGCTAGAAGGCTACTGCTTTCATATTTACTTATCGATCTTGGTCGGTAAGTATGTTGATAGGTATTTGTCTGTATGTCTGTTTGTTAGATGCACGCCATATCTCACGAAAGCGAGGTTGAATCTGCTCTAAATTTTGCATGAGCATTCATTATATCTCGGACCAGAAGCCTATTCATTTTGGATGAATTATTTCGTATGATTAGTGATTTAATATTTAATTAGTGATGGGGCACGCGGTGTCACTATAGAGTCAAGAATCGAAACCGCAGTTTCGATCGATAAGTCTTCGGTCTCCGACAGACGTTCTCGTTTTTATATTTTTAGTGACTATGATATTGTTTTCGCCTGTGCATATTATGCCCCAATGTCGCATGAATTTCAAAAACTTTTCAGTGGGCCGTTTTGTAAAATACAGTAATAAATCGATATAAGTATTGAATGAAGTAACTTTACAAAGTTTTCAGCACTATATTAATTTGAATAGGTATGTAGAAATGCCATTAGGTCAATTGCATCTAAATTATAGACGGATACGCAGTGACGACATGCCAGAAGTTTTATATAACGCAAAAAAACATAACACGATGGGAAAATAAAAACAGAAAAGGACAACGAATCCCGGCGAAAGTAGCTAACATATTGTTCACTTTTTACTTTGCATTGGCAAAAGGACGATCAAAGCAGGCACGGAAGATAACGATCAGAGTGAAATTAATTTGAAAATTTGTGTTGCAAATTCATTCCTATAATTGTGCTGACCGTTTGTCGCCAATAATCGCACAATACCTTCCGAGTTCGTTCAACTTAACGCGCAGTTCTGCAAAAAAACAACTTGAAATCGATGTGCACCCATGCTCAAGACTTGCATACGTAATAATTAGAACCGACAGTTGAATGTAGATTGCCAGCAAAACAATCACACCAAAATCACGAAATATTTCTAAGCCTATATTATATAAAATACTAAACATTCAGAATGACTGCTTACAAACTCATTTAGAGCGGTCCACAGTAAATAGTTTGGCCAGTCGCGGGTACCAATGACATCGTTTGGCTTTGATGGATCCATTATGACGTCATATTATGCATCCCTGTTTATGCAATTTATTATGACGTCGTAAATCAATTTAATATGCGTGACATTACAAACAAAATAAAATAATCCAGATAAATAAAAGATTCATTTCAGTTCTGTATTTATCATTTTATATTACTCAACATATTTTTCCTCGGATTCAATTTATATAATCAATTTGAAGTTAATTCGTCATGATTATAAATGAACAACTTTTAGTATGATTCGCGAAATAACTTCGAATTGATTAAAGGATTGATTGAAGGATAAACATAGGTAAACTTGAATTGTATAATTCAACAAGAAATTGTATAATGGGAAAATATTGCCCGACGAAGTTTAATGAGATTCTGATCTAAGCATGTTTCTAATTATTTAGGCTTAACTATAATTTAAGATTTAATGAAAAAAGGAAAAACATAACTTATCATGAACAATTAATCAAATTTTTTTTTAAAACAAAAACGTCATGTTGAAGCTGCCTTTATTTATGAAGTTATTATTCTATTCCGTTTATATTAGAAAAATGATGAATATTGCGAGA